ACAATATCTAAAAACAAAAGAAAATAATGGCCAGAAAAAAATTGAAAAATTGTAAACTGTTAGATCCGAAACGGCGGACATACACAAAAAGTAGAAATACACCCAAAATTACAGATAATAAATTACTTTTGAAAATAGTCATACTTTTAAAGATTACTTTAACTAAGATATATTTAAATAAGGGGTCATGTGGGACATCGCTTCCGACCGTCCTAGCAAAGCAAAGAAAGAAAATGTGTGAAATTATACAAAACGGGTGAAAAACGGAAATTGAATTGGTATATATGCGTTTTGTTAAAATTCAATAACGTGAAAACAATTTCCGCAGAATGATCTTTTTGGGAAAAATTAACTAAAATATACGCATATATATGAGCATATTATAAAAAATAATCACTGTATTTTTGTGATATCCCGATAAGAATAATGAGTGGTAATTCTTGAGATCCATTTATAGACCGATACTATGAGTATATTTTTACCGTATAATTGTTATGTAACTAAACTATTCATATTCATGTTGCTCTTATTATAAGCTTTAATTTGACCCATAGAATATTACTACATGATTTACCATTCTTGAGTTATGGCCTGTCTATTAATTACTATCTCCTTCATTCACAGCCACTTTTGGCCAAATATTGTACAAATGTTATTTTCTATTTTATGGTACGTTGTGGTCGGTTTGATTGGTATATAAACCCAGTATATTTGAAATAAATTATTCGTATTGCCGAGGCTGAGATTGGTGCTCTGGTCTTAACTGGCTGGGCTAGACATGAAGCGAGACCAATCAGGACTCTAGGCTGCTCGCACGTGTTTTATGCGTCACTGGTTCGATCGACAACTCACTGTTCTCTGATTAGCGGTATCTTTGCGTTATCCAATATACAGGGTACACAGGTTCACAAGATATAGCAACTTTTGACACAGTTACACGAAGTTTGTTACCCATTGTTCGATGAGGGCACTGGCCATTGTTTCAGCAATAATGTTCTTGTTGAGTACTGCTACTGTTCATCGTGTGAACCGCTCTGCACAAGATAAAAGACAGGATAGCGAGATGTAACTAGCCATTGGTATTGATGCTTAACTATAGTGCAGGGATTTAATGACTTAAATTTTCCAACTGATATGATGGATTCGATACTGCGAGTCAACAAAAAAATCGTGAAAAGCATGACTGGGCAAATATAATCGTTTTTTATTGTGAAGTAAATTACTGGAAGTTGTAAATAACTATAGCATCTAATCATTGGGATCGCCCAAATTAATGTGATTTGAATTACAAAGTTTAATATTACTTGCAGCGAAATGAATAGTAGTTTTGTAGTGGCATTGAACAATAACCGCACAATCCACAAAGCTGAACACGAGACTACTCAGAAAATAGATATTCAATATTTAACGCGGATAAATACCTAACGATGGAGAAGGCGCGAAGAATGAATTGAATGGACTGGAGTTGATCGAGTGGCAGTTATGTCATGACAAATCTACAAATTTAGGATTAGGTCTATTATTAGAGCAGTACTAATATCATAGTAGACCATAGTTCTACAGTTTTACAAACCGACTGGATATGTCTAATTTCAACACACTTTAGAAATAACTTCAATACACTAATGTCTGTAGGGCAGAAAATTTTGTTAAATTACGATTCATCACGGTCAAGTGGGATGTCACGAACCAATGCTGTCGATGCCAATTTATTATGCAAAATACCTCTTCAAATCATGTTTGTGAAGTTGAATTGGTTTCACTTCCTACCGAGTAATCCCATTACAAGCAAAACGAGACAATTTGCTAAAAACGAAGCCTGCTCATGACCCTATAAAATCTATAAAAATAAAAATCAGCTGAAATAAGCTTGATGAGAAAAAAGAGATAGCCATTTGTGTATCAGAACATTGTTTTCAGCACAGGTGAGTGCTTGTCTGACGATGAGCTTAAAGTGAAGGTAAGAGTTTTGTGATCGGTGAAAAAATTATTTCACGACCTTCAATGGAGTGTTGAGAGTGCCGTACAGAGCAATTTATGGCTGATAGTTCCCGCCAAAAGTGTTTTACTTTGAACCGGAATCCAGCAACCGTTTCGAGAGGAATGCCAATGGTTGTCAGGTATGGTTAAACCATTGTTGTAACACTCTGACTGCCGAGTCTGATGTGTTTACTGCGATACTAATGGGTGCTTCGGTGTTCTGGTGTACGAGCAGAGTTGCTTTGGCGATAATTTGCTTTATTGCAGAGAATGCTTTTTTTCCAGATATCGTCCAAATTGACGGAGTTCGCATTTTCACGATGTTGGTCGGTTAAAGGTTTCATAAGGGACGCGCAATTCGTTATGAGCCGATTACAGAAACTTACTAGGCCTAATTGTTGTCGGTTTCGTGTAATCCAGAATGGCCGCTACTTTACTTTCCAGTGGTCGGATGCCTTGAACACCAGTAGAATGTCTAATAAAATCTAGGGAGTCGGTCTCGACCTAACGTATGTGAGTTTTTACAGTAATGTCGTGCTTTAGTAGTCGTTCGAGGAAAAGTCCCAGTTGCTGAGGATGGGATTCTCTCTCCGGACTTGATATCAATCAGTCATCTATACTTGAGTGTACAAAATTGAGACCTCCAAAGACATAATCGACGAGTTGGTGAATAGTTTGTGCAGCACTTCTTAAACCTAAAGCGCGCGCAAAAATTTATGGATTCTGAAGTGGGCTGTCGCCTGTAGCCATGTTAACTTGGCTATACTCTTAAACCAGATTGGTTTTCAAAAAAACAGTTGAACCCTTTAAGTTAGCTGTCAGGTGGTGATTGTGCAGTGACAGATGAAGATTGCTAGTGGTTTTCGTGTTCACTCGCCGATAATCAATAGTTGGACATCAGTCTCTGCAGTCATTTTTAGGGGCCATGTGTAAGGGATACGCTCATCGGCCGTTTTATGGCCGAATGTTTCCTGAGTTCATCACATAGTCGAATTCCTTTTTAGCCAACCCCAGCTGTTTGGAAGCTAGCCGACGTGTTCCTGTAGTCGTGATGTGATATGTAACATTGATGGTTACACTTGGTAATTTCGGTTGCGTTTGATACAACTCAAGGTACTTATCGAGTTTTAGTTAGTAGGATGGATCGATCGTATGTTTTACTGTGCCTGGGGACACAAACAGACAAATTAGTATTTTGGTCTACTAACCACCTTTCGCGCTTGTCCACGAGTAAATTATGGTGTTGTCGCAGGTCTATACCAGTGATTAGCATAAATACATCTGCAACAACTAAGTGGGTGAGTTAGCGCAAACCCATGTTTAGATAAATATACCTCTCACTATATGTGGCGATCTTCGCCGACTTCAGTTGCCGTCGACGCGTGCCGTCTCGGGAGTTTCCCGAAACCTTTTCCATGTTGATCAGTTTGGAGCTCGGAAAATCGCAGTTTCCTGAAATTTGGAGATTTTTCGTATTGACTATGATACCAGCACCAATCATATTTATCGGTTTCTCGTGCTCTAAAGATAGATGGTTTTCGTGAAGAACCCATTCGAGTAGTTTGAGATTGTCTACGGTCATGACGAGTGCTAAGGTAACGTGTCAGAGTATGACAGAGTCTCACGGATTGAAATCATGAGTCAATCGAAGATAAACCACCATGGAAAACCTGGAAGCACTGGATGGCCGTTTCGTCCTAGTGTGGGACACCTCAGGAGTGCGCATGCACGATCCCGCACCCAGAGGGATTCGAACTCAGGACCTATCAGTCTCGCGCCAGGCGCTTAACCAACTGGACCACTGAGCCGGCATCCAATGGTGTTAATGTCCAATTTCAACCAATCCATGAAGTTGCGCCACCGTACACCATTGTCTTCAGTGAGCTAGAAACTAAGTCCAACTGATAAAATCCCAACAAGAAGACTTGAGTGGGATAGACTTCAGACCGACAGAGCCTCTTTCCTCACATTGTCAGCAAGTGTGGTATGCTAGTGAAAATAATAAGATATAATTTGTCCGTTTGGAAATCTTTGGGAGATTCTGACGTTACAATCTCCGTAACTGAAAAAAAGGACATTACATTTCGTCGTTGTCTTCAGGGTCGCTTCCCATCAGCATTCTGAGAGCATAAAAGCCTCACTCCCGGGTTTTATTTTCGAAATGTTAGACAGTATTGGACTGCAATTATCAAAAACCTTTCAATGTTTGCTGAATATTTTATCCGGATATCGATTCACGCATTATGCCTCTTTACACTTATCAGGATTTTGCTCTCGTAAAAACCTGTTCGCAACAAATCAATTATGGAAGAATCCAAACTAAGAACAAACCTTGCTTAGCTGGCTTTCAGGCCTCACTTCTATATTTATAGCAGTAGAATTGTATTTGCAGGGTGAGGTCATGGTATGTCATACCGCTTTTAACCCTTCATCATAACAGACTACAAATACGTCTCACTACAAGAATATTCGCCAAGAATAGAATAATAATGACTACATACAAACGCAGTCCGAGTCAGTGAGTTATGGAACTCCCTAATAAAAGACATATCGACCCAATCTTTGGCTACATCCACAATAAGAACAGTGAGTGACTACTTTGGTTCCATTGATACTGGAAAAGATTATTCCAGGCCTTACTTGCCGATCATTTTTATCATAGACTAACTCCTTTCTTCTCTCTACAAAGACCGTAGCCCAGTCATTGTGAGACACTTTCGTAACGTACTCCAGTTGTATGAAGTTTCACTCATGTCCCTGTTTTTTGATGACTTTTGGCATATAGAAGATGTCAATGAGTTAATCGAATAAAATTTCAGCGATGATCAGGTCTAGTACCTAATAATATCAACATTTACCTCACAACAGAAAGGAAGAAATTAACTCAGTTTGATAATTCAAATCCAGATAACATTAAGACATTATTTTCAATTATTCAAGGCCTTATAAACTAATTAACGTAATCTGACTTGAAATATAATGAACAACCTGTTTTCTGTGTTTACCGAGGCAATTGTATACTGAAGTTTGTTTTAACCTACTGTATAAGAGTACAATGGCGAGGTTCGCCATTAGGTTTGCTTTTGAAGTCGTTGGTGCACGCCCTCAAACCTGTTTAAGATGGAGTCCGTTGCCGCACACAAAGATGAAGTCGTAAGTTGTTTTATTGTTTCTTTCTATGGTAAGACTCACGTTGAGTCGAAAATTGACGAGTTGAAAAGAAAGTCTGTGGATGCCAAAGACGTTGCAGATCATGAAGCTAAGAATGGTAACGATGAGCCAGTTGTCAAGAAGATAAGAAAAGGTTTGCATTCTGTTTTGTTAGGTATTAAAGTGTAATGTAGAGACCGATGATAATGATGGCGATGAAAAGTCTCACAGTCCAGAGAATAGACCAATCGAGGGTGAGTTGTACGAAGATGGTAACGAAGGTGAGCTAATTTACTCTTCGGCATTCATGCCATACCCCTTGATTACTCACACTGATTTTCGACCTATATATATCTAAGTTTCATAAGTTCTGTAATTTCGACTTTTAGACGATGGCTCACAAGACACCAAAGGCACCAATGGAACAAGTAAGTTTTGTGTTTGTGTGATCATTTCCTAGGCGAACATGTAAACGGCAGTAACGGCGAACATGTCGGTGAACATCAAACCGAAAGTAATTGCTTATAGTCATTGACGCAAATTTTAGAATCAGATGAAGGGTCCGATTCGGAATCGGAAGGGGGTGATGCACCTTCAGTTGACAAGGAATCAAACGAAGAGGCCAGTGATTAACCTCGGCATTTCTATGCACTCCAGGCATTTATGTCTTTTTATAACATTTTTATCGATTTTTATTCTAACCCGGCAGCTTTTGCACAAGTTTATTATTCACTTATATCTAATATAACAGATGCTCGGACTCATTTTCTTCTTTCCTCGAATCTGGTTGGTCTTGTTTGGTAATTTCCCCAACTTCTGTTCGAAATAACCTAATGTGTCCGAATCAAGATTCGTATTCACACCCGGTCTACCACTGACAACGAACTAGTTAGCATACACCGTCTGATTTGTCGCTTACATTCCAGTTTTGAACCTAATTATTTCGTTAGGTATCCTGACATCCGGTCAGTTCGGCGTACGGTTTAATAAATGTATTTGGTCGTAAAGTTCGCTAAAGCAGTGATAAGTACTTCGCCTCTGTGCTGAAATGCACGAGGATTTCTAGAAACCTTATGGTGTTCTTGAATCCATCGGATTGTATTTGCCATCTCGTCCGAATATGTAGTGTCACAAGTTCCCATAGGCACACATTTAACATTTCTCAGCACTCAAGATGTTGACCATGTTGTTTAATTGTTTTTAGAACAGCTCGGTAAAGGTGATGTGGTTGCTGGTGACGCAATACTGCGCGTTTCCTGTTTGTTAAACACAGAGTCACCGCCTCCTGTACTTGCCATTATCGCGAGGTTGAGTTATGTAAGACTTCTTCCGCGGTTCGGAAACACTTCAGGGTGCCGTACAAATACGACTTTGGGATCCCAACTATCGATCCTCTTATTTGAAGGAGTTCACATAGCGTTCAGTTTGGTTCTTCATAGTAGTCTCAAGTGAAGACCGTTGAAATGGTGCCTTGCTTTGCGATCGCAAGTTGCAACAAACCGACTCGTGACCAACTGGTCACGTAAAAACTAACGCTTTGTTTTGACCGGAGTTGTGTCAAAAGGATTCGTTAAGATTGTGTAGCAAATTAACGGCTATAATTTTTTAGCAGTAACGTCCAAAAATGTTGCTTGTCCTTAAGTGTGCATGTCCCAAAAAGTTGTGTTGTACAAAATCGTATTTAAGTTCACTATAAGTCAGTAGACCAGACACCAGCCTGAATATGATGTGTCGAATTCCTATAAATTATGGAAACGCAAGTTCAGCACACCAAGGTCCACGTACATGTCCATTGGGGGACTTGACATTTGCCCTTTTTTGTTTTGGTCCACGTGTAAGAACTACCAGGTGACTCTGTAGTCATTAAAATACCAGTCAAATATTATTCGAGGGAATTTGTCACCGCAGATAAATTTGCTGAGACATGGTATTCTCAATATTCGCTTTCAAGATGTTTCATCTAACTGGGGCACACCATTTTTGTTGACAGTTTAGGTGGTGGGTATCTATGCTTAGTTGTCTTGAAGCTGAGGTGGCGTCTTCTCATGGGCCAGAATATCTATGGTCGTATGCTGATGACTGAATCTTGATTACACTTTCATTCAGGTGTTCGAGAGCAATTATACACATGATTTGAACTATATTCTGATCGAATGGCTTTGTTCATTCCTCTGTGGGTGCACTAAAGTCCTCAAAGATTGAACATCTTATAGCGAATCGTTTGCAAAGTTTCTCTGGCATCAAATTGTTTGTTCAAAGTCACCCGGGTCTACATTAAACTGGTATTCAGCACATTTCGGGGTCTAAATGAAGACTGGTCATTCCACATACCCCACTCCAATGAGACAAGTTTTTGTTAACAGCAATCTATATCTTATTTTTGGTAGGAAGTAATACAGGGAAATTCAAACTACTAATACAATATGAATTGGACTTCACATTGCATAAGCTAATTGCTACCTGAACTCAGTAGCTAGGTTGGTAACGCGACTGTGTTTGGAGTGAAAGTTACTAGGTTCAAGTCCCGAGTGAACGTACAGCTAGTGAGACCAGAACAGGGCGAAATGCGCATCCTGGGTTTCACCGCACACCACCATCTGTCACTGCTCATCTTTAGTTCAGTCTGCCTTAATTCAGAGTATATATATATCAGAATACTAATTAAACCTCTAACCTTTCATATTAATGGTCTAAGGGCATATAGAAAGGAAATTATTAAGTAACCAAGAAATATTTAGTGAATCAATCAAACCCATCCATAGACTTGATTGTAGTCCTCATTCATGTTAAAGTGAAAGCAAGATTACTCTTTCTGGTGCCAACTCACAACTTCTAGTCATTCGTCACTGGCTAAAGTCTAAACTGAAATTTATATATGGAGTAACGTTTAAATATTCTTGTTGTATCAAACCATGAAATTAAAAATGCAAAACATCAATCCCCAGGTCAGTGGTGTAAAGGTCATTAGATAATGAGGATACAGTATACAAGAGTTATGGAATGATGAAACGACTCCTAGATGCTTCCTAGTTTTAAATGGTCAGTATTGAAGAACTATCATGTAATTAAATAAGATAATTCGATATCAAATGTATATTTGGAAAAGTAGAGCAGAAAGTTCCATCTACATAACAATTAAACTTGGAAATAATCATGTTTATCAAGATAGACGATGGTTAGGTCTGTGAATTTTCTTGTCAACCATGTTCGTTGTACGTAAGCTTTAGGACTGAGATGTCCTAATTTAATGATCATTGTGTCGGTATTCACCGCATTTATTAAATTATATCGGCAACTGTTTGTTATGTTAATCGAGGTAACATGGGGGAGAAATTTGAACTCTCAGTTTGATTTAATTTTTTAAAATATTCGTCTCCATTTGTTATGAATGTCCATCCCACAAGGGGTAGACAATCAATGGTTTGTACAGTTTCTTCACACAAACGAATCATGTAATAAAGGGGTGTTGATTGATCATGTCTTCCAAATGGCAATGGTGATTTGTCGTATAATCAATTCTTTTTATTAAGGACCTATTATGTATTAAACAGTTTTGTGGCAATGATAGATAGTCTAAAGATTGGAAATGTCAAATAAAAGTTAATAAATTTCTCCGTCAGTACTATATATAAAAATATGATTGTTTCTGACTATGAGACAATTCTGCATATCGTTACCTATTTTGAATAGTTTGCTCGACATCAGTGTTTGGGAACTTTAGTAGGATCTTCATTAGTGTCTAGCAGTGAAAACCAGTAGGCGTTCACGCTTTCAGCTATATGCTTTTTGTTCGAGTAGTACGTAGAACGTTAAGATAAGATTGCGTGATAGATCTTATTCGAACATATGAACCAGTAATTTGTATTCTTGGTGTGACGAAATATTAGAAATCAGGACCTGAAAAGTGTAAGATTTATTTTAGTTAGTAAAATTAAAGTTAGTATAACTGGATTCAGTAGTAGTTCGTGACATAGTACCAATTATTTTCAACTTCAGCTTTATCAATTCATCTGCAACCTGAGTTCATCTAATTCCGAGACAACTTATTTATGTACGTCGTTGCAGATACGAAAAATAACGGAACAAATTCGAAAAATGCTTTAAATTTTATACCTTCATTTGTTTAAAACTCTGACGTGCTTAAGAAGTGTTCACAGTTGACATGACATTCGCGTGCGAGCATCCGGATTAGTAGTTCTAAGTTCTCTGAATATCTAAAAGTTTAATAAATAAAACCTTACAAGCAGAAACAGTATACGGGTACGATGATTAACGTCTCCAAGCGGTACTTCTGCATTATGCACAGGCACGAAAACGCGTTGAGCAGCTTTTGATTTCAAGCTTCCATGCTAAACACAAAAATATCCTTTAAAAAAATAGTCACCATCATTTATTTAATAAAAACAATTTGCTTAACAATTTTCATACTTCTAATCTGAATATATTCACTGAGGTAGACGATCGTTGAAGAAAAGAAATGAAAGATTTTCATTTTAACTAAGACCTACAATTTTACCTGAAACATTTCCAAACCCATATTTTTGTAATAGTACGATTATAGTTCTTCTCTCTCCAAATATTTTTGTTAGAACTATTGGTAAGTAACAAGTACTTTGTCATATCATCTATTAAGTAAATATACCTATATTTACATAGTGATCGCACCCACAATAAATAGAATTGTTTTACCTCGTTACTTCTGAATGAGTATTTTAATCACGTGATTAGTTATGCTCAAAAAAATAAAAGGATACTTGATTATTAGTTTTAAGTCAGTCAATCAGCTACAACGTAGGACTAGGCACATATGTACATCGGTTTAAGTTGCCATTCCTCATTAGCACAACAAGATGAACACTGAATTCAGAGGTGGTAATATATAAAAGAAAGATTGCACATAAGGACATAGTACAGGAAGAAAAAATTAATTCGTAGAAAGAAAGATATGAGACGATTTTAATCTCTTAGTTTAAAGGAAGATAGAGAGTGTATACACCGACGCCATTGTGATCGATTCTGAGCCATGTCACCAAGAGTCTCCAACCATTGGTTACGATAGTGACGCGGACCCCAACCAAGTAGTCTGTATCTACCAACATGGCTCAGACTAGAAGTTAGTGACTTCAAGCACTGATGCTACGTTTTGGTTTGGCCGCCCCTAACTTTCTTCCAACCGTCTCCAACAATAGTCAGCATTGGGCTCTGTGTTAATCGGTGTTTGGGCATACGTAACACTTGGCCCAATCATCTCAGTCGATGTTGATTCACAACCTCATCAACTGATTTACCATCATGCTCTGATACCCTGCGTCTAACCTCCCTATTACTTACCCGGTGATTCCAGCAGGTGCTTTCAATATTTCTAAGGCACCTGTGCTCGAATACTAGTGGCTTACGAGTATCTTCTACTCCGTAATGGCCACATTTCGCATCCGTAAAGTAGAACAGTACGAACTGCTGCGCAGTATACTCGTCCGTTTATTGATAGACGGATATCTTGCCTTCGCCATAGGTGACGTTTTATAGGATCAACAAATTGTAATGTTGAGACATAATGGTAATGTATACTGTTTCGCTCTTTTTGTCTCTTTTTTTTCAAATAAAACGCTGAGGTTTTACGTGTGAAACTTTTCACAATATTTTATCAAGAAAATATTTGATGTATAATGTCCTTTAATGACGATTCAGTTTGTATCCTTCAAGTTTTGAATGTGGAATAACATTTGTAATGGATAGTAAACATATATATATATTCCACG